CGCGCACTCACGTTCGCAAAGGACATGGTCATTTACCTAGAGCAGCCGTATGGTCCTTTATCCCACGCGGTGGGTGTTCCCCCAGGCTAGTGTGAGACACAGAAATCCATCCGCCTGTTCTTTCTGCCTCTTGTGGTGGAAGCACCTTGCTGTGCTGTCTGCTAAAGAAAGAGTCATTTCTCTCAAAGGTGGAAGGAGGTCGGGCCCTGTTGGTCTTATTGCAAATACATACATTGCAAGTAGAAGTATATCGTAGCCCTGCCTGCACATCTGGCCAGGAACCAGGGATCTGGGGACCAGGAACTGGTGGCCGTGGCGGCTCATGGAAATCTCCTTGCAAACTTTAGCTCAGAGCCACAGTTTCCAGCACGGCAGGGACCTTCCCATCTGAGACAAGCCCGGGCATTAACGTGTTGTTGCTCTTCAAGATCTAGTCAGTTCTGGTGGTTTTTTAGCTGGGGACCAGTGAGAGTGCACTTCATGCTAGCGTTCTGCACCAGTCCTATCTACCCATGCAGGATCCTGTGTAGGGTATGACCTGTCTGCCTGCTGTGCTAGCCTCTATGACTGTACAACAAATCATCCCAGCTTAGTGATTTGGAACAACCGTTTACTATATGCATGGATCTGTGGGTCAGGAATTCAGATGGGACACTGCAGGGAGGGCTGTCCCTGCCCCCCACAGTGTTTGGCTATTAGCAGGATGACTTGAATGTGGAGCTTGGGTTCATCTGAAGACTAAGTCCCAACTGTGCCTGGCTTTCAGCAGGTCAACAAGATACCCACACGTGGCTTGTCTGTGGGCTGTGGGCTTAGGCCAGGTTCAAGGGCAAGTGATCGGAAAAGACATATCATCTATTAAGAGCTGGCTTTGGAAGTCAGGCATGTCACCTTTGCCGTGTTCTGCTCACTGAAGGATTCTCAACAGCCCAGCTAGGTTCAAGGGGAGGAGAAACAAACAGCAGAGGGATAAGGTTCTGGAAGGCTGTATTGCTGTGGCTACACATACACTCTGTCATACCTGGGCATAGCATGGAAAACACGAAGTTCTGCCAAGTCCCTCAAGTTTAAGGTTAACAGGCAGGACCTCTGCAACTGTGTTCACTTTATACCCATGACTCTGGCCCCACCTTGGCCTCCGTGGACACGTAGGATTCCTTTGGACAGAGCAGAATTTTTCAGCAGGTTGGTAGAAATACATAAATCTGACCTTCATCGGCTGTCACTGCTCAGGTGAGGGCTTAAATGAGTTCGCTTCCCAAGATTCCATAAATTCTTCAAATAACGGCCACCTGGGTCACATGCAGGACCAGTTCAGGAGCAGAGAGTGTCGGGCCACCAAGAGAAGTCTGGTTTGTGGTTTGTTCAGGAGCCTCGTAGAAATTCTATGATTTAGGGAAACAGCCCAGGGGCAGAGGGCCAGTCAGGTCTCCCATTAGTGGTCACGGAACCATGAGTTCTTTGAGTTTGTTTCTTTTTGCCTCTTTATGTCTTTTTAATCTGTAAAATCGTTTTTAAACAATATTCAGGTGTATTTTTTCCATACATCCATTATGGCTTGAATCAGTATCCTCGGTAAATTTTTTCTTTCTTATATTTTAGAGAGGTGGAAAATACAACCAAGTATGGAGAAGAAAATAAAAATCTTCAATAACACCAGCCCTTGAAATAGTAATAGTCAATATTTTAGTGCTTTTTCCATTGTATATACCTGCCTTAAGATGATTTTAATGGCTAAATATGAATTAAATATGCCAGAACTTATTTTAATCACCCCTTTTATTGTTGGACATTTTACTTCTTCTTTCCCATGCTTTTCGTGTAAATATTTTTGCATTATTAAGATACATTTTTATTTAACATATGTAAGTAACATTTTCCATACTTATTTAAAAGTTTTAATAAATATTATTTAAATCTAAATAAAATTTACTTCTCTGTGATAGATTCCAGGAAATGGGATTCTTGGATCCAGGCTATGAACAATTTAGTTTTTGCTACATGATCTGAAATCGCTTTCCCAAATTCACACAATCACTGGCGACCTGTACATCATTCTACAAGGCAAACAGGTGTGGCTTATCAGTTTAGGGAGCAAATGTAAAGCCATATTTTAAATGAACTTAATTCAGGTCTGATTTTTGTTTGTTTCAGCACGACTGGGAGGATTAAGTCATTTGCCTTTATCTTAAGTGCTTTCAGTTCCTTGGTTCTGCTTTCCAAGCCTGTGTTTTTCCTCTCTTCAAGTGTATTTTCAGATGTTTGCATTCCAGCCCCCGCCCCCAACATGATGCTTTTCTCCTCCGTGTACGGCTCGTGGTCTCACAGCCGCCTGTCATTTGCCTACAGATGTTCTCCTTCGAGGCGTCTCGTTTACTTCCCGCATGTCGGTGGTGATGCTCACTGTCCACTCTTTCTGCTTCCATGCGATTTGTCTGCCTCTTTGAGTGATAATGTGATTACTTTTAGGATCAGTAAAATAAGGATGTGTATGTGATTTTTATATATTCTCTGTCTTCTCATCATCACTGCTGTGGTCAATGATGGGCAAACCATCACTGTGCGCTTCCCAGGCCTTTTTGTTTGTGTTCCTTTGTCCTTGAAATGGTTTGATGTTGTCAGTGAACGTTTTTCTTCTGTATATACATTTACCTGCAATAGAAAAGGCTTCTCCAATATTTGCAATAGTTATTTATAGTTCCCCTTAGCATGGTTCCATTCTAATAGAGTTGACCAATTGGGATATAAACTCAAAAACATTCTGGAGTTAATATAATGAATATTAAATTGCATATCTGTATTTAATGATTATTCTTGGCTTCCAATTATAATATTACATAACTCGTGATCTCTAAGGCCTCTTTAACAGAAAATATCACCACACCTGGGCATTTTGTTGTATTTTTGGGTCTTAATTGCAGCTTTTGTAGTAACCCTGCAGTTTAATCTAAATATATATCTTAATTCTTTCCCTTATACAAAATTACTTTTGGTATACCTTCTAAGCCTTTCACTCCAGGTTGAGAAAATATTGATTTTACATTTGGTTACATTTTATGTATGTATATATGTATGTACGTATTTATTTTTATTTTTAAAATTTTTTGGTTAAATTTTAATGACTTGCTTTTTGCTGCTCATTTATATATCTTTCTATTATGGTTTTTTACTGAAATATAATTGCCATAGAATAGGATGTAAGTTTAAGATGTACAACGTGTTGGGGTGCATGGGTGGCTCAGTTAAGTGTCAGACTCTTGATTTTGGCTCAGGTCGTGATCTCAGGGGAGTGAGATCGAGCCCTGTGTCAGGTTCCATGCTGGTAGTGGAGTCTGCTTGAGATTCTGTCTCCCCTCCTCCCTCTGCGTCCCCCAACCTGCACTCCTGCCCATGTTCATGTTCTGTCTCTGTCTCTCTCTGTCTCTCTCTCTCTGTCAAAAGATGTATAGTGTGTTGACTTGAGACATTTATATATCATAATATGATCACCGTCCTGGTTTAGCTAACACCTCTGTCACGTCACATAATTATCATTTCTTTGTTGTGGCGAGAACGGTCACTATCTAGTCTGTTAGCATTTTTGAAGTTTATACTACAGTGTTGTTGACTATAATCACTGTGCTGTGCATTAGATAATAACCAGGACTTCATTCCTCTTCTAGGTGCAAGTTTGTCTCTTTTAACAACATCTCCCCACCCCCACACCCCAAACCCTTGGTAACCAGCATTCGAGGCTCTGCTTCAACAAATTCTGCTTTTTTAGCTTCTGCATAGAAGTGATACCATGCGATATTTGTCTTTCTCTGGCTGGCTTATCTCACTAAGCATAATGCTGCTTTTTTCCTTTCCCTTTGTTCTAAGATTCCCTATTTCCTTGCCTCTTATTATTATTTTTTTTAACCTTGTTTATTCTTTTCTTTTCTAAGTCCATGGGCTTCTAAATGCCAGTTACTGTGCTTGAGGGTACAGGATGAACGGATAGCCCATGCCTTTAGGGGTTTTACTGTCACTCACGAAAACCTAACGCACATCAGGATGGCTGGAAGAATAGTGTGACTGAAGGCAGTGGGTCCATCCTGTTGGCCAAAATCAGGTTGCGTGTGAGAGGGGACACAACGGGTGTGAGCCCCTTGGCTGGTTGTGAAGGGGCCGAGTTTGGACCCTGCTCTGCGGGTGGTTTTGTCCTGGAAAGTGGGATAGGCCACTTTTGGGGTTCATGTATGGGATATAAGTTGGAAGGGGGAGCATCTGAGAAGAAAGGAGCTCCAAGACTTGGATGTTCATTCATGGAACCAATGAGTACCCCATGCCTGCCGTGTGTCGGGGCTCTGGACCCCACAGTGAGCAGACCGCCATCCACCTTGCTCTTATGGGGTCTTGTCATTCAGTGGTCCTGCTCTTCTGGGGCTTCTGCTGTGAGGGAGAGCAGCTTAACACCCGTGGTAGTGGCAATGACAACTCTATGTATAAAGCCCATCTCGTGGCATTTAAAGTCTCCTTAATTTTCTAACTTTCAGGCACTGTGACTACTGTGTGAAGACATGTCCACTGCCCTATTGGGTTCCTGTGCCCTTAAAGGAATAGTTCTGTTCTTGTAGGTTCAACCAGGTTGCTCCCGTGTTCGCCCCAGCCTGACTTCGTTTCGAATTCCTATTACGTTGTGAGTCTGCCCACGGATGCAGCTGGGACACTCAGGCTTCCCCTTTGATCATTTGATGTTAGGAGTTGACATCCTGGAAATAGCACTTTGAAATGACCGGATAAGGGAGGTCACCCGTGGAGCTCGTCATTCGGTAATAACCTGAAATTGGTTCATGTCTTCACAAGAACGACCTCCAGGGAAGACTAAGGTTCTGGCATGATTCTCCTGGTGTGCAGAAGTTGGGAGGACTCTGCTGGTTAATCTTCCCCCTGGGTACCACTGGGTACAGTACAGATGTGCTCATGGTCCTAAAAAAGTTGATAGCTTACGAGCGATCTTTTTATTTTTCTCTGGCCAGGAATCTTGGCTCCTTTCTTCGGAACTTGGAGAAAAATGTGAAGCCATAGACAAGAAGTTACTGTACTTGGAAGAACAGCTTCACACAGCCATCCACAGCCATGATGAAGATCTCATTCATATCCTTTTCATCCTGCAGGTTAAGTACCTGCTAGTTGTTTTGTAAGAGCAAGTCTTAAAAATATACTCAATTTTTCCATGCCCTAGCAGATGGAAACAAATAGATACTACTGTGTTTTATAGCATAGCACACCTTCGATCTCTGAGATTATCCTGTATGTAGTGCTTTCTCCCTAGCCTTTGGTAAGTAATCCAGCATTTTTGATTATTAAGCCTGACCACTAAAAATGAACCATGAAGTTCAGACATGCATAGAAGGCCAAAACAAAATGCAGTTTTCAAGGGGGCATGAAGCTAGGTTTGTGGGGCACAGATGGTTGTGGGTTTGATTAGCTCAGTTTTTCTAGGGGCTTCTTTCTCTCTGTCTGTCTCTCTCTCTCTTTTAACCCTACGATTCTGCCCTGGAAGGAGCAGTCGAGTATCATGACTAATAGGACTTCAGCTCATTCCCTTTTCAATTTCTTCTTGTATAAGACCCCATAAACCTGGTGTCACACCTGAAGATGTCTTCCTCAACCCCAACCACCACCGAGCAAGATGGCCTGAGAACATGTTACCTTCCGTACACGTCCATATCCAGTGCAAATCCGTGGATGTACTCAGTTCTGGTTAGTTCTTTCAGGGGCAAGTGGTTGGGTGTGCACACGGATGAAGGCGTATGGAGCCCCGGCCTGTATCTTTTCAATTATTCAGTCAGAAGTGGACATGTCCCTGGATAAAAACACTTCTCCATTCATTCATCCTTTCTATTCAGTAGTGTGACTTTTACTAGAGAAGCTGGTGGGAAATGTAGCTATTTCGGTCTTTGCTTCTCATCGCTGTCTTACTTTTCAGAATTCTGTTTCTTTTTACACTTAATCCTGTGTGACTGTGTGTGTGTGTGTGTGTGTGTGTGTGTGTGTGTGTGTGTAAAAGCAGCTTTCAATGGCCAAGGACTAATCTTAATCATAGGTATTCAGATCCACAGTAGTTTAATGATGGATTCAGCGCTGTTCCTTCCTCATTATAACCTTAAATCTTAGACCTTGGTTATTAAACGTAGCAGGAAATTTCTTCAGCTTAATCAGCAATTCCTCTCACACTGCTCAAGGTAGATTTTTAAAAGCAGACATTCTGTTCTTCATAATTTCCTGCCCCTTACAAAACTGGTGTTTAAGCTCTGGCTACAAAGTTGGCCATAGAAACAGCAGACGCATCCTTGGCTTGTATTTTGTTTATTCCGTGTTCATGAATCACCTAGATTTGAGGACTTACAAGGGGACACGGGGCTCCAGCAAACGGGCAAGTGGCTGTCTGGGCATGAGTATCTGGGAACAATGCAATGCAGAGGGGTTCCTGGTTCCCCAGCCCAGCAAGCGGGGGCTCTCTGCTTGCTGGGAGAAGGACACACTTCAGGCCACCTTGGAGTCAGGTTGTGGGGTCTGTGCTGCCGGCAGGGTCTGTGCTGGTCTTCGGACCTAAGTTTTCTAAATTTTATAGTCAAGTTTGGTTCTAGGGAATTGGGTTTTCTTCTTAATAGGGATGAGTGGCAGGGGAGGAGGCTGACAGGGGACAGAGCTGTGTATAGATAAGCCCCCCCTTTAGTGGCCCCACAGCCAGTCCACGATTCAGGCAGCAGGACTGTGGACAATTGATAGAGGCTCTTCATCCTTCGGCTTCCTCCTCAGCAACAGTGGACAGTGACATGGGTCTGTAAGGTTTTCGTGAGGCCTACATGAGGCTGTATTCTGGAAAATTCTTTAACAGTCTTGTACATGGTAGATGTTGGTTTTAGGTAGAAATTACATTCTTCAAGCCCATTTGCCTCAGCATTTTCACTGTTTGTGTCAAAAGCTCCAGCCACATCCCATTTAGACAGATTTATTCAATTATTTTGTAATAGATGCTTGAATGAGTCCGTCCGTAACCCCACAGTAGCCCATGTAAAAATGTCATTTAAGTCTAACAAAACAGCTATAGATAGATAGGGATTGTTCTTTCTATTTGATATAGTTGAGAAAACTGAAGTTAAGTGACTGGTCCAGGGTCATTTCTGATGAGTGGCAAGCTCTGTGGTCCTTGTTGGCCCCATTGGGAAGCAGCTTTGCCTACAAGTAAGTGGACAGGCCTGTTGTGTGAAATGTACAGTTATTCTAAAATTTTTAAGCTATAATAAAAGTAGCCTATTGAAGTTCTGTTTTTGAGAATTTGGCTGATCCTTGCAGAGCTAAGCAGAGACATATTGGGGGTATGTCAGACCGGGGCTGGAAAACACCCTCCTTCCCTCCAAGCAAATCTGCCCCGCAATATGGATTTCAACCCAAACTTTCCTCTGATTCCCAGGCTTTGTTCTGTGTCCCTGATCGGGAGCAAAGACACTGAATCAAGTCTTTGAACTCCTACAGAACAGCACTTAGATTTGAGCGGAACGTGGCGTCCTAAGATAGAAAGACATAGTTACAAGACTCTGCGAGGCTCCCTCCCCACACGAACCAAAGCCCTTGTTTCAAATTAGAGCTTATCTAGCCCTTCAAAGAGGCTGTTGAATCCTCCAGCCAAACTGACTGGTTTGTGTTTCCATTCTTGATCAAAGATACAAAGCCGTGTATGGTTGAAAGAAACAGCATGCCATCGACAACACAAAAGAATTACACAGCGAGTGTTGCATTTTTGTTTGATTCCGTTAAGCACTCTGCCAGAGCCCACAGTGCCTGTGATGTAGCATGAGCACGATGAACGTGAGTCCACAGTGAACATCGATGTCCAGAAGATTCAAACCTTGGTGGCTACAGATGCTCACGCGTCGTGCGGAAGGCACCGAGCTTCTGCGTCAGCCATGCGTGGGAGGAAGTGTTGCCAGCGGGCCATCAGCGAGGGGTGGACCGCTCATCCAGGGGTGGAGATGAGCTTCCAAACAGAACCTCTGGGCATCCTGATTGGATATCAGGGCTATGGGCAGCCTGTGGAGAGTGTCCTGTCTTAAGAAGACACTGGATTGACAGTTCCAAGAAGCGACAGAAAACAGCCCGTGTCTCTTCATTGTCCTGACAGACTCACTAAATTACATGTAGCATGACCAAAGAATGACACAAAGCCATCAGCTGTGGTGGTGGCAAGTGTTTAAAAGAAGTCCGAGCCATTAATTGGAAGCCCCGGCGTCGGAGGGCTGACCCGTGCCTGCTGTCTGAGGAGAGGACAGGAGGTGTGACTTCCCTGCCGGTCAAAGCCGGGGTTTCCAAGAGCATCAGTCTGAGTCTCCAGCACAATTTCACAGTCATTTGGGTCCTAATTAGCGGTCGTGTTTCGAAAACCGTTTTGAATGGTTCCTTCTTGCAAACGCTTCAACTGAAAACCATCCAGGTGAGGTGAATATTTAAGCAAGTTTCTTCTCATTTTTTTTTTTTCTCCTTCAACTTCTACAACGCACTTTCAAAGAGGGGAAAAAGTAAGATTGGGACACTTTGGGCATATTTCAAAGCCTGCAGGACAGTTCTGCCTGCTTCAGGGTCGCAGAGCAGATGTGGGCACATTGCTTCTATTCGTGGTTCTACTCGCAACCATGTCCAGGAGACCTTTGTGGAATTCTGTTCTCGCTGCTTATTTGGAATGCATGGCGGCCAATCGATTAGTTTTGGTGGTGCTGGATGGCATGAAAATACTGTGAATGCATCCAGGCACAGGCACGAACATCACATCCCCTTAAGATCCCTTGTCTGGTTCAACTTTCCAGTGTGTGGCTTGGGCAGACAAAGGTAGCAGCGGTCTGGGGTGGCTGCTGTGCCTTCTTGGACATGTTTTCCACTCTCGGGCTAAAGAGCTGGAAGAGGGGCCGTGAGGACCACAGAACTCTACTTAACAAATCTTAAAGAGAAGAAAACAGACCGGAAGAGGTGGTTGTTGAAAGCACTGTGTGGGCTGGGCTGAGGCAAATATGGTGGCCAGGATTTCTTCCATTGGCTTCTGCCAAAGGGAGTGGGCTGGGGAGAGGAAGCCCGGGAGGCGGTGGTGTGGACCCCGGGCTGTCCTGCTGCTGGCTTGGCACAATGCAAATTCGGCACTAGGTGGGCATCCCAAGGAGTGCCCTGTAAAAGCATCAGAGGCATTCAAGCAGGTCACGTGTGCACATGAGGCTTTCTTCCTTGCTCTCCAACAGCTGCGTTCTTCGCCTTCAGTTCTCTCCGGAAGGTAAACTTCCTCTCACTGCCTGCGAAGGCATCACTGTTGATACTAAGAAACACTTTAGCAAATGAGAAGCCCTTTCAGAGGCATACTGTTGTTTCTTCTTGAACCAAACCAGACCTGATGTGCCGATCTACTTTTGACTAAGCTGCGAACAGGATTGCTAAGAAACCCAACTGGCAAACACTCAGTGGTTTTTATACGTAAACTAAAGACCTCCTTGAAAGAATTGGAGGGTCTTTGCCAATAGCTGCCCGAAATGATGATGTTGTCTTTTCGTATGCCTGGATGACATCTGGGGAAGTTGTCTTACTGTCTTACCCCTTTACTAATTGCAAACCCAGCTTGCATGATTTCATTAGCGAGAAGTTATACACTTGCTTAGTATGTGACTAGTCTGCCCCAAGGTGGTAAAGAAGGGTCTTGGGCTCCAAAGGTGTTTTTATAGATGTTGGCATGTCAATCTTTGTGCCATTATTGTAATTAATGTGCTCATTTTCTTAGACGCCACAGATATCTGGTGGCATATCTGTTACAGGGGAACTTTATAATTAGTTCGAGAGGTCTCAATGGCCCAGGCATCACCAAAATCACTCAGCTCTTTGAGACCTACTCTTAAATTTAGATGCAGTGAGCACCTCTGTCATATCTACCTAAAATCCAGTGCTGGAGTTGTACTTTATTTGCTCAGTGCTTTGATAAAAACCAAGGTCAGATATGTCAGTGGGCTTCCACGTGAGTTTATTGGACTAACAATCAGAAACACTGATTCTAGACCTACTGTACAAAATAGCCGGAAGACCTTGGTTAGCCGTGGCAAATGCAATAAACTGAGAAAGTATGAAATTTTTTTTAAAATATATTTTTGGACATAACCTCCAAGTACATATCAGCAGGCCGGATCTCACCCCAAACCTCACACTCCTGTCTGCTCCTCACTCAACATCTCCCCTCTGCTGACAAATGGGCTTTTCCAAAAATTCCTCCCCACCCTCAAAAAAATCCAGCTCGTGCTCAGTCTTCTCCTTGATAAACTGCAAGTTCTTCGCTTAGATAAAAAATCTGGGAGTCATTCTCAATGCCTTTTCCTTCTTTCACATAGCACATCTGGTCTATCACCAAATGCCCTTGGCTTGACCTTCAGAACATATGCAGAATCTGGTCACCTGTCACCTCCATGGCCCCTAGCTGGGTTCAGTACGTGATCTATTCTTCCCTGGATGATTGGATTATGGCAACCACCTCTTCTCATCTCCCTGCTTCTTCTTTTGCCCCCTTCTTTGAGCCTTCCAGTGATGAAAGTGGCCGGAGTAATCAGTCACTCCCTTGCTCCAAACCCTCCACCACCCCCATCTAGTGGTCTGCATACGTGCCCGTGCCCATGTGAGTTTACTTCCTGCTCCCCTCCCTGACACTACATGCCAGGATGGCCATGACTTTGTTCACTTCTGTGCTTCCTACATCCAGAGCCTTTCTTTTTCTTTTTTCTCTTTCTTCTTCTTTTCCTCTCTTTCTTTTTCTTTTTCTTTTCTTCTCTTTCTTTTTCTCTTTCTCTCTCTCTCTCTTTCTTTTGCTTTTCTTTTTTCAGAACCTTTCTTAGCACACAGTAGGAGCTCAGGAAGTGTTTGAATATCTGAATGTATGAAGGAAAGAATAAGGGTCTCTTACTTTTCTTTTATTTCCCCAACTGCTTAACGGTGAAATGTATCCAGTGATTTCTTTTATAAATATATTGATCGAAATATAAAAGTATGCATGCCTATTTAAATACTAGAGAAGTATGAAAAAAAAAAAAAAGGCTGCCTATTCCTCCCAGGATCAATACCTAGAAGCACTGTGTCCTTCTAAGGCACTTTTCTAGCAGAAATCACTCCGTCTATAGGTTTTTCATTCCATATAAATTGTTCTGCAGCTCGGTCCTCCCCACCCCCACTGCACACAGTATCCTGGATTCTCTCCCATTTCAGCACATTCAAAGTGTTTTGGAACTTACATTCGTAAGGCATCCTACAGACAGGTTGGTTAGAGAGAGCGATTTTGTAAATAAAAGCATGATTTTTTTCAGTTCTTTTTTTTTTAAATTACAGTGTAGTTAATGTACAGTGTTATGCTAGTTTCAGGTGCGCAAAATAGTGATTCAGCCGTTCCATACATCACCCGGGGCTCATCATGATAAATGTGATCTTAATCCCCATCACCGGTTTCACCCATCCCCCCCAACTCCCCTCTGGTGACCAGCAGTTTGTTCTCTATATGAAGAGTCTTTAAAAAAAAAAAAAAAGGTATTTTTTTGTTTGTTTTGTTTCTTCAGTTCTACATATGAATGAAATCCTATGATATTTGTCTTTCTCTATCATATGATATGATGTCACTTAGCATTATATTCTCTCTCTCTAT